GCTGTGTGAGGCGCTTTCCACCCTCCTGCATCATGAGAGTACTCTGACAGTAAAGCATAAGAGCACAGATAAAGGGAAACATATGAAGACTGTACCAAATGTAAGGTCTAATTAATTAGATACAGTGTTTCCTCAAAGGAAAGCTAACAACTGTGTCTCCGTCCTTTCAATATTTTATTCAGGCTGGAAGAAACCAGGAAGAAACAAGATTCCATTCAGGTTTCCCCCCCTCACCACTCTTAAGGCACTTTCACATATGTTGGAAAAACCAAATTGGAACATTATTATTGGAACAGTCGTCCTTGCTCGTATGCAGCACACATGTGCTATTCTCACACAGCTGCAAATCGGCACAACAGGACATCACACGGACTTGGTGCTAAGGAGTCGGCTGATCATAAACCTTTTAATGCTTTAGAATTGATTAAGTATGATCTATAAGTTAACTGCATAAACCCTTTCACATCTTTTCCGTTCTCCCACCTCCTTCTCCTCTCCTGACCTTTTTCCAATCTAAGGGTAAAAGCTGTGGTTTCAAGTAACTGCTGGGAAAATGTTTCAACACCTCAGGGACTGCCACACTCACAGGCTCTTTAATGGAAAGGGTCTTTTCACAATTCTTAATCACTTTTGTTACAACTCCCCTCCCCAGTAACTTTGGACTTCTCTAATGACGGGATAAATAACTCCGACCTTCAGTCATGCTGACATTTATATAACATTATTTTATAAGCCATACTTTACACAGCAGCTATTTCTAATCCCTGAACTACATTATTTCTCTTCCAGTGCTCACAGTACATAAAGTTGTAGTCAAATGACACCAATGCTGGAACTACAGCCTTGGACTTTTGCAGTGGGCAAACTTCCTACAGGTATTACACAACTTTTCACTTTTGTTTTCAAGAAACTAAATCATTCAATCTTATAAAAAGTTCACAAACGATTTTTTGTTAAATTATTGTTTTAATGTCAGACAGTTATAGTTTTTATCCTTTCAGCCCTGGTGGTGTTTAACAGCCTTTAGATGCTACTGAAAAACTACAGGCCCTTATAGTATCTGTGCACACAGATCAGAGGGCTATTTTTCAGAGATTCAAATTATTATTGGACTGTGATATCGGCTTATTGATCCATAATCTGAAAAATAACCTGTTCCCACACAGGCTAGGTCTACACCGTACGTTATCAATAATATACCCTGGTAAGAAGTGAACCGTCTTCATAATAATCCTAAAGTTACATAGTTAAGCTCAAATCCTGCTTCGTAGCTCAGGTCTCTGTTATATCGGCCATCTGCTTTCACAGAACAATTTTGGAAAAACCTGATGTACTCTGACTGCCCAGCAACAACTTAGCAGACACACAAAGTACAGCATTTAACTGCTATTAGTCAGTGTCGGGCATGTTGTGTTACTTATTCACATCTGAAGCTTTTAGTATCTTTAAAAAGTTGTCTCAAAACATGCATCAGACAGCCCTCTAATCACAACCGCTGTCAAAATAAAATGTCCACAGAGCCCTTGCTCTCTTGTCTCCTCTTTTCTTCTTTTTCCAGCATACACACACACACGCACACATCCACACATAAACAAGATTAATCATTGCCCACTGCCAGGTCCAGCATGCTCCCTGCATTGACCTCTCCCTGCCTGACATCAGATCAGGACTGGGATACACATGTAATCTCCCATATCTCCCTCAGCCTTGGGAGCAGCTCTTGCTCCCTCATTGCAAACGCCCCCCAGGTGACCAGCGGATGTGATGGTGGTGGTGGTGGAGGAGGTGGGTAGTGGAGTATGTGCCCCAATCACACAAATACACATTTTCACAGAAAAAACAAACAAGGCACCCAGAGGACTTTTACAGTCCATCCCTGATGTTTCCCAGTGAAGAAAAAGTGATAAATGTGCTTTAAAAGACATTGTGGGTTTTGCTCTGGTGATTAAGCTTATTATCCATGCATCTCACTGTTGTTATTCTGCTGTGTGTTGAGCTAATAAATGTCAAATATGATTTGTCTGTCTGCGAGCAAGAAAATGCCGGGGCCGCTCTCTACAACACGAACCCATACACTCATCTCAGCTGTGCATGACATTTAGGCCTATAACGATAATTGCTTTCTCTGGAGTCTAAACTCTGATGGGAGTTGTTTCCACACTGTGTAATGCAATCGCAGCACCAGCCTAGCTGCTATAGATCCTCAGCTGCAGTGTGGCAGCTTGGCTTTTACCCATGAAAACCCAGCCAGTGGAAAATATTAATTATTATCCTTGTAGCTCATCTACTTTCCTTTACTTTAGGGGCAATTTAAAAAAAGGCAAAATCTGCTTAACTTGGAAAAGCACAGCAATTAATTGTGATCTAGTTTAACGAGGGCCCACTTTGACGTGTTAATGTGGCTAATTAACAGTCAATCAGGAAGTGATATGGACTTTGAGTGCCTGCCACTAGACATTAGCCACATTTCTATCCAAAGTACCCAAAGCTTCTACTTACAAAAACTTTTTAATGTAACTAAAAGGTGCCTTGAGAACAATGGTTGTCTGCATTTTCACTGTTCAAGCATCGGAGTACATTAGATAAAGTAATCTGCCGATGTTGTGACAGGTAAATCTGAGCAGCGAGACGGCACTCTGGAGGATACAACCACTTTGGCAGAGGAAACTTGCCAAAGATACACACAACTGTGGTGAATTTTTGCAAGCTTTTTACCAGAATTGTCTGTGAGGTGGCAGAGATAGACAGGGTGAAATGTCAGCCAATCAGCACAGCAAGCCACACACCCAAAGTTGCTGAACTCTGAGAAAGTACAGCTGCAGAGCGGTGACTTTCAAGGGAATAAATCAATTTCCACAAACTTAGATGCTGGTCCCTCCAAAGGTTCCTGCAGTAAGTTAAGTGGTTGGTAATGAAGGTGCTGATGTGTTAATACCACACAGGGGTGTTTAACAAGGGCATGCAATTCCACAGACACCACGGACACTTTACTGCAGAGTAATGTACTGTACTGACATACACATGAGCAAATATGCATCTTTCTCCTAACTCGTACTGCAGGCTAATTTGCTTTTATGACAGTCAACTGCCTGTTACTGCCAAATACCAACAGCAGAGAGGCTATGCCTGCACACACACACACACACACACACACACACACACACACACACGCTCGCACACACACACACACTCTACTGCATGAACCACATGTCAAATCTGGGAATGATGCCCCTGCAATGTTACCTAACATCATGTCTGTTTGTACAATGCATTAGACAACAGAGAAGAGAGAATAAGAGTCTTTTAATATTTGACTATGATCAATAAATAATAATCAGTTTGTGAATTCACAGACTGAAATTAAGGCCTCAAACAACCATGTTTTCCCAGTAACCACACTGACTCAAGTTCTCAAGCAACAGCTAAAGACATCTCATACTCAAGCTTTGTGTGTTGCTGACAAACATTTTCTACAATACTCCAGGGTGGAAGCAATGTGGCTTCTAGTTATTATGTGATAATAAATCCTTTGGGTAAGGGTAGGGTCGACTTTCCTAATCTTTTGAACGTAGTCAACCTAAATCAGGAAGTTATGACATGCCAGCTTGTTACTTTTCCACTGTGTAAATACTTGGCAACTGTATTAGCAGAAAGTTTGCTGTAAACAATGTGGCTTATCATGAATGATTAACATGATTAACGTTGCAGGGAGATGGTCAGCACCTCAGCAGTTGCTAATTAAGTCATTATATCGTGATGGCACAAACAATAAAAGCTTTTAAAAAAAACTTGAAAACTGAAACGTTCAAGAGGACCTAAGTGTTTTTGTTTTTTTAAAACCAGAACCAGAAAAAACTCTGGGAAGTTACTGGTCAGAGCCAAGATTTTTTTTTAAATCAAATTACCTGGCAGAGCTGCTACACCTGTGTTTACTGTTTAAATTTGTGAGCTTTAGACTTCACTCACACAAGACTTGACACTGGTTGGCGACTTCCTGAACCCCAGTTTCACACAAGAGACTGACAGCAACCTTCAGAAACCACTTGCCAAACCAGTCCTGGAATGCAACCAGCAGTTGCCAGGGGATCACAGTGTGGTCTGTAGGCTTGTTGACTGATGCTTTAGCAATCAGTTTCAGAGCAACTGCCACCACCTACAACTGGATAGGGAATACACATGTTTCCTTCATGACCTGTGGTTGCCAGATGATCAGTAAAGCGCCATTTCTATGAGGTACTCATCAACATTGGTTCCTAGGTGGAAGTACCTGGTACCAGGTACTTTTTTAGCATCCTACGTTTGCTCAGTTGAGCTGAAAATATGATGTCAGACTGTATTCCACTGATTGACCAAGGTATGACGCCACTGGATGAGTCATGAGCGACACCTTCACAAGAATCAAACCCACCATTTTTGCAACCCGGCAACAAATGAAATGGTTAGACACAAACCTGCACCGTGGTCCAACAACAAGGTGCATCCATCGGCTTACCATCACCTCATGCTGTGTCACACACAAATGACATCGTGAGACTTGAGCCACGTTGCTATAACAACAGCAGCCATACTGAACATACATGATGTAAAAGAAGATGCTGTCCATCCACTCCTAAGGTGCACTGTCAGAAACAACTTTGAGCACAGAGCAATTCAACATATTTAACAAAAGATGATTTTCAGCCTCCGTATACAGTCAGAGGCTGTTTATTGCCTGTTGTGCCTCAGTGCATTGTCACAGCATTTAACAAAAAGAAGGGCTTACAGAATTGATGCTCTCACAAGCTGCAAACAATCAACCGTCCCACTGGAGGCACAAAACCATCAAACAAAGCTAGCTCAACAGCCAGCTAGCCGAGAGCCTCTTTCTCACTCAAAGGCCTCCCACACTCTTGTTGACCACCACAGAAACGACTTGCCCCCACCCAACACAACCACTCACTCACTAGATGAGATGTTCTGTATAGATTTAGCGTTAAAATGTTTTGCTCACAAAGGCCTACCTTTTGATGGCTCTGTGCGCTTAGGCAGATCCAATGTGTCGTAGCTTTTGTCATTCTCACCGTTTTTTCTGCCTGGAGGAGAGGAAGGAAACGAGGACGTCAGTGTCAGACAACTGGATATTGAAAAGAGACCCCAGGGTTATGCTGAGGATGATGCCAAAATCTTTGGACCGTAGGGGCAGAAAATGCATCTCAAACAACAAATAACGCACAAGTGTTTAAATGTACACACAGTACAGAGATGTAGCAACATGATATGTACAAACACTAAACTGCTTCCCTTCAGGAAATAATTTACATCAGTTGTCTAAATCCAGGTTCAAGGATAGAGGATTTCTTTTTGAACAAATAAAGTTAGTGTTAGTTGTCTCCTCCAAATAGTTATATATGATTTATTTAAAGAAAAGTTTATAAAAAATATTTTAAATGTAAGTCAATGGAAAATTTTATTTCTATATTTCAAGCTTGGCCTTTTATAAAGTGTTTCACATTTCAAGTCACGTCATCATTCTGTTAAAGTCACTTTATGCTGTTGTTCAGGTAAAGATGGTTTTTATTTCATTGGCTAAACAAGAAAAAGTGACATCATTGCTTCATCCAAGCGTGAAAGGTCACATGACTTTTACTACACATGGAAAAAGCTTGGCCAGCTTTGACTCCAGTGAAATGTAAATGCAGTTGTCACGGGGTCTGTGTGTGGCTTCGCATGCTCCTTGCACACAGGCTAAGAGAGAGATGTCGGCAGGATTGTAAACAGTGAAAATGCTCGATTTGTATGAAAAAATGACATGAAGCCAGGCGTCAGATTCACAGAAATCCATGTCTGAATGAGGCTTCAGTGTTGCAAAACACTAGTAGCCATGGTGTCAGAATTTTCCCTCGCTGCCACCACAGCAAACAAAGAACCAGCACTGCTGTCTGAAAGCATCAAAAAAAAAGTCTGCAAGACCCAAAAAGCCCAAACATTCAAATCCGTAAACAATCATTTACCTCTATATTTTTTGCACACTTAAATGTTCCAGATAATAGAAAACTGTAGCGCACGATCCAGGCAGCTTTAATAAAGTATTTTTTAGCTTTAATTATTGACATCCTCAGAAGTTTCAAATCACAAACGATCAAACAAATGCATAAAAAAAACTGAGTTTGCAGCAGAGCTTGACATTTATGCTTAAGTGTACTAGAAAGGGGTGAAGAGTTCCAGTTGGATACTGTTAGCGGTGTTCTTCAAAGCTGTCAGGATTCATTTTATCTGGAGTCTAAAAGAATTCACACCAAAGTTCAATTTGGGGATAGATGTGCAAATTTCCATTTCAGCATCTCTGGTTCGCTGGATTAGTCAAGCTCCACTTAAGAACACTACAAAGACAGATTTGTTGTTGACTTACCGGTTTTAGCACTCGTTTTACCTTTCACCTTTCTTAGAGGACTGACAAAAAACCCAACCAACTAATTCTAACAAACTGAGGAGTTTGGGACAGGTGGAAGTCTATAATGCTCAGAGCTACGGTCGGTAGGTATGGTAAGGGAATGTGTGTGGAATGAATGAAACCTCCGATTTTCTTAAGTCCTTGGAACTTTCTCAGGTTTCTGGAGGACACCCAAAACTACTTCTAACTATATTCTACAGCCAGGGGGAAAGAACGAGGAGGTGGAGGAGGAGGAGGAGGAAGAGGTGGGGGAAGACAGGGAGAGGATGGAGACGAGCTAAAATGAGAAAGGTTGAAGAGGGGGGCACTCACCTTGATTAAACCATTCCTCTATAGTTAGCCAAGGAAGCAGCAGCAATGCCAAAAAACAAAGCAGGGAGAAGAGAGAAGAGCCATGGTGAAATAGGAGTGTGCTGTGTGTGTGTGTGTCTGTGTCACGAGGCTGTGTAATACATGAGAACAGTTTTTATCAGAAAAAGGAGTCATCTGTTACTGAATAGGAAAGGTGAAAGAGAAAAGAAAACTGACAAATAAGCTAAATAAAGAGAGAAAGACTAAAGAAAGGAAACGGTGCTTTGTATAGATAGCAAGCCATTAGCAGTTCATAGATGGTCTCTGGGACCCATGGGGATAGATTTTAAGGTGTGTGGAGGGCAGTAAAAGACAGAGAAAAGTGTCAGATATAAAGAAAAATGAGAAAGGGGTTTTTAGATAGGTTAGCAAGCAAGAAAGAGAGAAAAGAATTTTTAAAAAAAAGGAAAAGGGAAAGATTTTAAAAAACAGCTTTGTTATCAGCTTTAAGAGGGCAGGTGAAATACACATAAAAACAGCAGAGACTGCAGCAGCATTTGCAGTGCTAAATTAAAATCACTGCGTGGGAGGGGGAGAAAAGTACTCAAAGAGATTGAAGTAAGAGCCAACAATCAGACTGTCTATTAGCCAAAACAAAGCACGAGTGCGTGCTGATTATCATGTCATATTTTGAAACAAATGCAACACTAAACGGAAGAAGAGGCCAAACTTAGCCTACTGCTGTACAGTCTGAAGGCTGTAATCATTCACTTTGCACGTGTGTTTACACGTCGGAAAGCATCCGAGTGGTTAACTGGCTTCTTTATTAATCTCTGTACACGTTAAGCATTGTGTTGTCCTGAACCCTAAACTAATGTGGTTCTCCAAAGAGCCATTAGAAGTCAGGGGTCACTGGCTGGTAGTCACATCTCATTGGCTGACTGATTAATGGCGGCCATTACTGTTGTACAGCTGGGCGATAACGGCATCATTTAGATAACAGTCACAGGAGAACACTGATTAAGACCTCTGAAGCAACACATGCATTAAGAGCTGTTGTGTTGCTGTGAGTAACTCCTTTATTTGCACACATTTGTATTGAGAGTTAGATCATCCATGCATCTGTATCTTCTACGAACTGGATAGCTGTGATTGTTTGGTTACAGTGTTTTCATCTCCTCTGTTCATCCTCCCTCTCACCTTTGGCCTTCTTGCCTCCGAAGCAGCCAGCATCGTCTTTCTTCTTCCTTTGTGGTCCCGCTGAACCTGGGGCTTGTAGCGCCGACGGGTCCTGGTACTTTTCGGCCCCCGGCACCTCTTTGTGTACGTGATAGGACAGATTCCTCATAATACAAACACAATTCTCCACAGACTGTGAAACAAAGAAGGGAAAATGACCAGCTACATTCATCACAGGAATACTGAACAGCATAAATTCATAAGAACACTACAGCAACAAGCTGCTATTAGAATGAGCTCATTCTGAATCCATGATAGTGGATGACCCGGATGTTGTCTCACCTTGTTGTCCATGTCCTTCTTCCCTACAGCTGACTGAAGAGCGTGCAGCAAAGCGTCCACCAATCCCTCACATTCCCTCAGTCTGCGCCGAGCCTCTGCCCCGTCTGAGCTCACATTTCTACAGAAACAAAGTAACACACATCAAGCTTAGGAGGCGTGCATAGACGAAGATTTGTCTGAGGAAGCGAATGAAAATTTGACCAATAGGGTTTTTTTTGAAATTGGAATAATCACAAGTCAATAGTTTGTGCTAAAAGTAATTATAAAATTATCCATTTCAAAATATGACACTACAGTCTCCAGAATCCCATCTCATTGACTCTGGCTGGCATCCAGTGTGAAATACCAATAAAGCAGTAAGGATACTAAATCACAGTACAACTATCCACTGAGAGCCTGCTCTAATTATAAACAGTACTCCTATAACTACTATTTATACTTTCACAAAAATTAGGAAAGGGAAGAGGGAAAGCACCGAAGGCAGTGAAAGTGTTTTTAATAGTCCTAAAGAAGTGAATATAACAAGCATACAGAGAGGATGACAATTACAGCCACATGTCTCACTGTTCAATAAAAGTGCCATGTAAACCCATATCAGTCTTCCCCAGCCGTGTGATTTTTAGAGTTTCCATGTGACCCACGGCCTCCATCCTCTGTCTGCCTCAGATGTACAATGCAATAAAGCTAGACAGCTTTAGGAATAATCTTTAAAAAAAATTATTAACATAAATTTCTTTTTTTTGGTACGGGGGGAGGAGGGGGGGGCGGGCGTCACCCAGCGCCTTGAGCACAGCTCCTACAAGCACGGCAGCAGAGCTGGTGCAGTCTTCGTGTGCCTGTCTGACTGTGAAAGGGAAAGGATTTAAAGAGGGTTAAGGGATAGCAGGGACTCCCCGCTCCTCACCGGGGACTTCATTTATGAGGGCTTCCAACTCACATAATCCCATTAGCTGACCCCCAGTTAGGCCTTTGGAAGAGTGGCAGCATTGCCGAGGTAAGCAGAACTGCGCCTCTTTTTTGTGCCGTGGGGACTGAAACATGTATGAGGTCTACCGCTGCTACAGTGCTGAACGGTTCATTTTAGACTGCAAACACTGTGGAGCCATTTGGGGTTTCTGCTTTTTTCTCTCTTGTATTTTGTTAATCATTTACCTGCGTTCAACGAATTTAGTGAACTCAGGTCTCCGTGTAGTCTAGTGCTCCCCTTAGCTGGCAGTTATGGTGTTTGTCTGTCTACCAGACTCCTTCTTGTCTTGTTTGTCTTGTGTTATTTGTTTCTTCCATCAGTCTCTGCAATGTGCTGCAACAAGCACATTTTAAATAAAGATTGGCTTTAGTTTGCAGGTGTCCTGCGTTTGGGTCTTTCTTTGAACTGAGCATAAAAAAAACTGCATCAGGAGATGCTTCTCTGCTCAAAAATGATTAATTTACAAGTGAAAACACCCATGCACTTTAATCCCAGGCATGTTTTTGATGTGTGTATTTAGGTAAAGCTACCATTTGTCTACTGAATCACCCTGCAGTGTACAAACTGTTAACTAATCCCTGGTTGGAGACAGTGCAGAAAGGCTCGACAATCTCTACTTAACCCCATTCGTCTCCAGGTATTCAAAAAAAAAAAAAAGAGGTGTCATTTCCCCTGTACACAAATCTAGTGGCGCGCTCACCTTGGATTTATTTGACAGAAGTGAATTTGGGGGCAGACAGACACGAGGATTTATTGTCAGCTGTTTCATTTCCAGCAGTCTTTGAGGGAACAGTTGTCCTGTTGGAGGTTTATAGATGGTACATCTGTCAGTAGAGACAGTGAAGAAAGCTGCTGTTGTCTCTTTATGGACAGGTCATGTGGCGCTGTGCTATTTATGGTCTATATGTACTAGTGATTATCGAGCTGTCCTGCCTTTTACAAACTGTTACTGCTTTACAAAAACTTTCTTTTTATGTGGGAACCACAGAAATATGTTAGGCCAGGTTTGACTGCCTGCCGTTGGCATTACTCATAACTTTGCTTGCTGTGACATTTACTCACTCATATCTGTATATCTGGAAAACTGACATGCATTGCTTTAACAACTAGCACCTGTATCCATGAATACGCCCGGTGTGGATCTGTGACGCTGCCTCTCCATCCGGCACGGTCACATCACACCCGGATTTAGCCTGGTCTGTTATTGATTATTTCCTCCAACTTCCTGTCCTTCTTATTCGTTTTATTCTCTTTGATGTGGCTTCTGTGAAAAATTGACCTTCAGCATCATAGATGCTTGACGCATGAGGATGCTTTGGATATGTACAACAGCATCAGATGGAGTCGGAAGATAATGCAGCTGCAGTAAAATTCAGGCAACAGACATCATTCTACCAATCCTAATAGCAATGTGGCAGCAAACATATAATTTTATTGGGTTTTTACCCAAGCCAACAGCTGGTTAGTTGGTCATTTTATGACCTGAGTGCAGACTGATGGTCTGCAACTACTGGATGAATTCAAATGCATGACTTGAGATCTAGTAAACCAGGCTTTGTTTGTCTGCCACTAATCCCTTCTTCTAACTTTACCTCCCTCATCCGTTCCCATTCTCAATCCTTTTGTACCTTTGTTCTGTAATAGAGGAACTAGAGGGAACAGCTGTCACATCGTGGGTGTTTTTGTTACTGTTAGAGAAAACTGAACCCACTTCCAAAGAAACCCCAGCATGTTACAACATTCTCTTGGAATGTTGCAGTCCTGGAATGGACAGGACACCAGCGGTGGTGAGAACCTCCTAAGAATCTAAATGATTTCTATCCAGTGTAATATAACCGTTACTTGTATACACAGCTCAAATAAATTCAAGCAACACTTTAAAAACACATGAGATCTCTATGGAAAAAGATCATGCCGAAAATATCTAGACTGGGTCATGTGTTAGGAACAAAAACCACTGTTTGATGGAAATGAAAATTACCAACCTACCGAGGGCTGAATTCAAAGACACCTTTTTTAAATTATGTGGCAGACTAATCTATTTTGTTTACTAATCTATTTTGTTAAAATTTCATCGCAGCAACTCAAAATGGTCTCAGTAGTTTCTATGTCCTGACTATGTCAGACATGTTCCTAGTCATATCATCTAGTCAGGTTGTTTTGTAGTTCTGGTAGTGCTCATCCTGTTCCTCCTCGCACAAAGGAGCAGATCCCTGTCCTGCTGATGGGTTGAGGACCTTCTACGGCCCTGTCCAGCTCTGCTGCCTGTCTCCTGGCATACACTCGATGGTCCTGAGTGTATGCCAGGCAATGGCATGCATTGTTGCGCCATCCTGCGGAAGTTGGACTACCTGTGCAACCTCTGCATGGTCCAGGTATCACCTCATGTTGCCAGTAGTGACACTGACACTAGCCACTTCAAAACTAGAGAACAAACAGTCAGGACAGATGAAGAGTGGAAAATATCAGTGAACTCCACCTGTGAAACCATTCCTGTTTTGGGGTTTGTTTCATTGTTGCCTGTCTAGCGGACCTGTTGTTAATTTCATTAACACCAAAGCAGCTGAAAGTGATTAACAGCCCCCCTCTGCTATTTAACCGACCACATCAATATCCCACAGGTTTCACTGACTTGATGCTGTACTCTGATTAAAAAGTGTTGCTTTATTTTTTTTGAGCAGTGTATTTAAATGTCAACACGCTCAGAATTTTAGGCACTCACTATGCCAAATCTGAGTTGATTGTCGTGTTTGGACGGTGATACTGTAGAACGCAGTAAAAAATACCAGAGTAAAATAATACAACAATGGAATAACATTATATAATTTGGAAAAACAAGACCATTTTCTTTTCTTTTTGATGATCAAGTGCAGTAACTGAAAACATGTAGTTCTTCAAAAACACAAGGTCTTCTATTATTAAGCAGAAAGACATGTTTTTAGGACACTGTTGCTTTTGAGCGTGCAGTGGTTCTGCAAAAATAAAAAGGACACCACAATGGGTCAGTGCCCTTATGAGAACGCTTCATTCTTAAAAGTTTTTAGCTCATCGTACGGCCTTGCGTACTCCAATTATCTGACAATTTCAGAATTCCGAAAATGTATTTTTTTCTAGACCTCGGCGTGTCATATTTTACCGTTAGAAACTGAGAGAACGAGCGGGTGTGCTTTCAGAGGTCTGTCTCTCTTTCAGTCTGCACAGATCCCATCAGCTCGTCAGTGTGTATATTGTGTGTCTGCTTTATCAGATGAATTGTGGGTGTGAAGGTCGCTTAAGAGTCATGTGGTCATCGGAGGACAATAGAGCAGGAAAAGAGTGGAGCAGCACTGATGGAGATGGATGAAGACTTGGCTGACCTTTGCTATCGCCCTGCAAGGTCAGCAGAAGCATTTGGGACCCTATGTGTATCCTCAGCTCTGGTATCTGTCAGGTTTATCAGTGCTGATCGTATTTCTGATTCAGTGTATGGATTGAGCTTCGTATCTAATCCTTGTTGAGATTCTTTTCGTAATGCCTGAGCCTGTAAGCAAAATTTGTAGCAAGATTTAAGGTGCCAAAAACACACCCCATCAATCAATCTCGTCATTTTTTCTAAATTATTTAGGATGGGAGGGTTGACTGTAATGCAGTGACTGGCTTATTTGTCGCACTGCTTCAGCTGACATTCAGCAAAGCAGGACTTTCCAGAATGCTGATTTCTTTTCTGTTGCCATAGAAAAATCACATGAGCAGAGTCCAAGCTGCAGAAAAATATGGCTACTTTTGCTTTTTCTTTTAAAAACAACATTCATGTGTCAGCAACAATAAAATGTTCTTAAGTAACAAAATCAGACCCTTTGAGGCAGTCACCACATGCTGCCAGAAAAGCAATACGCTTTTGCATTGATTGACTGGAAGATCAGATATATTTCCTCCATTTTTGTCTTGGTGACAGCGATTTAGAGTGCTATCTAACTTGCAGTTCCAAAATCTATTGTGTTGGGTTAAGAATCCTGCAAAGGCCAATGCTTTTGATTCATATCATTCAAAAAGCAGCTGTGGGTAGAAATGTTTTATCACAGGATCAAGGTGATCACTAAGTTCAGATAAGCGGATCAAAGGCTTTTATTTCTTATAGTTGGTGAATATTGTATAACCTTGTGTAAACGTGG